CAGGTCGGGTTGCGTAAACTTGCTCCTCTCTTCGCTTGAATTTAGAGGGTTGAGGGGTGCGACCTGATTGAGGTTTTTTGAAATGAGAAAGCCATTCGATAGGGTAGATGCACAGAAACTATATCCTCTGGTGGGTGGAGGGGGGGGAATCCAGAACAAGGGTGGGCATTGTCTTAAAATTAGTGCTCAGGCATTTACGAGTGAGATCAAGAGGCAGTTTTTCACACAAATGGTAACGGGGAATCTGGAACTCTCTCCCCCAAAAGGCTGTGGACACTATATCCATTCACATATTCAAGACTGAGGTGTGGATATATTCTTAGATCAGGGTATCAAGGGATACGGGGCAAGCGCTGGTTAATTGGATTTGAGGTACAGATCAGCCACCATCTACTAGAATGGCGGAACAGGGGCTGGAGGGGCTGAACGGCCTACTCCTGTTCCTATGTTCCTAGCACAAAACACCAGCCGAGCTCAATCTGGCCCAACTAGTCCATGCCGGTGTTTGTACTCTACACAAGATCCCTAACTCTCCAATTCCCTTCTCCCTCATGTGTGCTTTTGTGTCCTCTTAAGACATTAATGCTTTTAACCTAATGCTGTTGATGCTAATATCCAACTCTTTTCAGCATCAGACACCAGTGCAATGGTGGGAAAGTGCCACATTGTCCCAACTCTTCTCTCCACAAGCTACAGATGATTCAGGAGTCTGCAAATCGTGTCATCTCCCGCACCATGGCTCCCTGACCCCATCACCCTCGGCCGGCTTCACTGGCTCCCCATCTCCCAGAGGATAGATCATGTTGACCATTCTTCGGTTTGGAAGCCATTTTTTGTACCAACTGTGGAAAAGTGACTTCCAAACCGAGATCGTTTATGAAGGATTATGTCTCGAATTTTTTTTGTAGAGAGACGGTGCCAGCGGACAGGGCGAGGGCAATGGGTGTGGTCGAAGAGGACAGTTTTCAGGAGGATGTTTCATGGAGAGGAAGCCAAGGTGGAGCCAATCAGGGATTGAATTCCAAAGGGCATTTGTTGGGTGGTTCCCTTCTAGATGCCTCAAATTGCTTCACAGAATATACTGTAAAATGGAGTAACTGTATATTGTGTGGGCAAAACGCAGCAGTCGATTGCGCACAGCAGTGTCCCACAAACAGCCGTGGATTGAAGTGACCGAATTATGTTTAAACAATTTTTTTATATGGGCTTAGTACCCGCTAGTGTATTTTGAGACAGTTTGACGATGTGATAACGTGATAGAATATGGGGCGTGAGATCTCAATCAGTCCATCAAGTCTATTCTGTTCAGAGCTCAGCAAAATCCTACCCCGGTTTCTACAGCGACCCAACCCTACTCTGTCTCCTGAGGGTACATGGGGCGGTGCATGGGATAAATCGCTTCAAATAAGAGCAGGGTGTTTCTCCCTGGATCCAGGCCAATATTCCTCCTTGTGAATGAGAATAAACAGTAAAAGAGATTAAAAATCAATTTGCCTGCCAATGCAGTTATCGTATTTCACAGCAAAAATCCAGATGAAGTGATTCGAGATGTTCCAATGGCGTGATAAGGCACTGTATCAAAGTAGCGCTCTCCAACCCCCCCCCCACCACCCCCACCCCAGCAGTGCTCAACTTGGAGGCGCGAACCCACAAATTTTGCGCTACAGGCTGGGCCAGGCCAAGGAGAGGCAGCGACGCTGTGGTCGAGAATAAATTCGAAGAAGGAGGACTTATTCATTCGAAGGGTCGAGTTTGTCCATCCACACCCTCGATCCACACCCTTTTCCTGGTGCATGTTTCCCATCAATTAGATTAGATCCAGATTAGTGAGCAAACTCCAAGTTGCTAACCTCATAGCAATCCACAGATTACTCAATTGTTAGTCTTCGTTAAAAAATACTTGCAGCGTTAGTTACCACTGAATAAGTTCTGCACTCGTTGGATTGTTGGGTTGTGACCCGAATCGAAACACGTTTGCTTGACTCAGATCATCTGAATCAGGGCACGGTTACGGATAACTCGGATTAACAGTGCCTGTTTTTTGTGTGACATTAACTTACGTTAAGGCCTGTAATCACCCGCAGGAAAACAGGTATACAGAGGTATCGCTTGGGCAAATTACATTTACGCAGCACCTTTCACGTCCGGAGGACGTCCCAAGGCGCTGGACAGTCAGGAATCTGCACCCAGCTGGTGTTGGGATCAGGAGGGGGTGGAGGGCGGGGAGGGTAAGGGGTAGGAGGGCGACCGAAGGAGCGATCGAAGAGGAGGCTCTTAAGATGGGTCTTGAAGGAGGCGAGGGGAGGGGGCGAGACGGAGACTTGACGTGAGATGGAGTTCCAGAGGGTAGGGGCAGAGAGGCTGAAGGCCCGACCGCCAATGGTGGGGCAGGCGAGGCGGGGGACGTGAAGGAGGCTGGAGCCCACTGAGAGGAGAGAGCGGACAGGTTGGTAGGGGGTTCGGAGGTCACAGAGGTAGGGAGGAGCAAGACCGTGAAGGGTTTTGAAGGTGAGGACGAGGATTGAACCGTATCCTCTGAGTGATGGGGAGCCCAACCTATAACAGACTCACTGGGTGAATAGATCTGATAAGTTGCGGGGTGGGGGGGTGGGGTGGGGGTGGGGGGGGGGGTAGCGATTAGGGACTGAGGGGCGCTACAAGGCGTAAGAGGCGCTACCCGGATGCAATGTGCTGTCGCTGCTGTAAAGTGCAGCGAAAGTGTGTGTCTTGTGGGCGAACTCGGCAGCCGGATTTTTCGCACAGCGGAGTGAAGAGGGGGAGGAGGTGGGTGGAGTGCCGGAGGCCAGACCAGACCGGGCCAAGGTGGGGTGAGGTAATGGTGCATTCCAGGCGGGTGCAATCACAGCATCTCACCGCCCCTCCCAGAACCAGACACTTCTCACCTTCACAAAACTACAAGGCAAGCAGATCTGCTGTGCAACCAACCAGTCTGCAAGGTATTCGAACCGCGCCCACGCTCCATAGGCGTGGCGTTTAAGCCTCGGAGAAGAATTCTGACCAGAGTCAGCAAACGCTTCCCTGGGACTCGCTCTCCCACACCCCTCGCTCTCTCCCCCCCCTCCCCCCCACCCCCCGTACTCCCCCTCTCCCCCCTGCCCTGCCCGCACCCCACCACCACCCACCCACCCACTCCCTCTCCGCTTCTTCAGCGAATGTAGTTTTTCAATAGGAACTTTTGACAAACTTTTTCTTCTCAAAAGTAAAAGTCTTTCCCTTCGCACCCGTGAAGTCTCTCCCGTCGTCAAGGTGGTGTGCCTCTCCTTCCGACCCCCCCCCCATCCCGACCCCCACGCCACGCGCCCCCCCCCACCACACCACCTCAAGACAACAGACTCGCTCTCTGCTATCTGAGGCAGAGCGAACCACATGTACGATGTGCTTTCGGGGATTTTAGCGACAGGGCATTCGCGCGCACTGCGTCCTCGCCAATCAACACAGATCCGATGGCTGAAGGAATAGTAATAATAAATAATAATAACAATCCTTGCGTTTGATACAGCGCCTTATCACATCTTCGAGTCATCTCAAAGCGCTTCACAGAATATACTGTAAAGCGAATTGACTGCATATTCTGTGGGTGAAATATTTTATGGGAGATCCCGTCTGCCTTTCTCCTAGTTTTCTCCCGGTGTTTCGGCCAACAGTTCCCCAAATATAGAATTGATCATTCACCGGTCATCAACGCGGCAGCCAATTGCGCACAGCAGCGTCCCCCACAAACAGTCGTGGATTGAATGACCACAAATTCCTTTAACCATTTTTTTTTTGGAGGGGATTATTACCCCCGGAAAAGCGATCCGCCAATCGACTAACCACCGGCTTCCGACTGACTGCCGGGTAAACGGAGGAAGTCGATGTGGTGTATGAACGAGGAGAGAACAGAAGGTGGGCGGTGGGAAGACATTTTGCAAGAGTGGACATGATGCAAAGTCTCTCTTACCCACACCCTCTGCTCAGCACTTTTGAGTTTGAAAACTCTCCGACTGCAAACACGACAAGAAAGAGTTTTTTTTTCCCCCCCACTCAGCTCCCGGTTTGAAGACGCAACAAAAAAATGCAACTTGGCGCAAAAAAAAAAGGCCGCGCCCAAAATGGGATCCCAAAAGGTGTCGGGGGGGGGGGGGGTTTAACCCCTTGCGTGCTGCAGAGCTGATAACAAACCCTGCATGTGATACAGCAAACCTTATCGCACTGTCCAAAACCTCTCAAAACCAATAGTGTTGAGGAGAAGCCGGCTGTTGTGTTTCTCACTGAAGCAGAGAAGAACGAGGGGTGACCCCCTAGAGGGGGTGGGGGGGGGTTGGGGAACACAATGATGAGGGGTGTTGACAGTGGAAATAGGGAGAAGCTATTTCCACTGGTTGGGGAAACAGAGACGGTCACAAGAAGAGCAAAAGGAGAGTTTAAGGGGAGAAATGTTTTCACTCAAAGAGAGTTGGAGGGACTTGGAATGCTCTGCGCAAAGGAAGGTGATTGAAAGAGGGTTCTGGGTTTCGATCAAGAGCTAATTGCTGAATTCAGCCTTGACTTTCCATCTTTTTTCTCTCTCTCTCTCCCTCTCCCTCTCCTTCTCTCTCTGCAACTCTTAGAAGAAACTTTACAGACAGGAAAAAAGGCAAAAATGCCTTCGAAACGAACCCTCGTACTCAAAGAATTGACCAAAGAAAAGCTGTGCGCTCTGGAAATGCTGCGTAGACAATGTTCAAAACATTTTTTTAAAAATTGTGCTGAGAGGCTGAGCCGGTTTGGAGACTTGTATCCCTTAGATACACTCTGTCGACTTGGACTGCAAACTGCCCTGAGGGTACAGGCCGGGGCCAGGTGTGGGGCAGGTTAGAACTTATCCCAATGTCAGGCCATTGGCTCCTCCCTTGGCTGCTCTGCTCCATTGAGACGCTTGTTACCTGACACCCGGCCCAGCCCCAGCGCTGGGAGAGAGAGCGGATAAAAGCAGCGCCTCACCTGCTCAACTCCTCACAGACACCTTCTGCTTCTAACTCTCCTCTCGCCTGTCGCTCCTCGAGCAAAAAACCCAGATTGCAGGATGTCGACGAGGAAAGCTACACGACCACCAAGATCACCAGCAGTGGCTCCAGCTACGGTGGTGGTGGTAGCTACGGTGGTAGTAGTAGCTCCAACTACGGTGGTGGTCTGAATATCGGCAGCGTGGCGTTGGGCGGTGGTATGAGGAGATCCTCAGCAAGAGTAGTGAGCGGAGGGAGACGCGCGATGTCCATGAGTGGCAGTATGCCGAGATCCCGAATGTCCTATTCCTCCTCCATGGCTGGTGGCGGTGGTGGCAGGATGATGGGAATGTATGGAAGCAGTGCGGGAGGTAATTTCGCAGGTGGTTATGGAGGTTTGGGAGGCAGCTTCGGAACTGGCATCGGAATTGGGTCATCTGTCAACCTGGATCTCAATGCCACCGTCGCCCCAGTGGACCCCGCTCTCCAAGCCCAAAGGCAGCAGGAGAAGAACCAGATCCTCGGGCTGAACAACCGCTTCGCCAGCTTCATCGATAAGGTATTTATCTGCACATCGATCAGATGGCATCTTAAACCACTTTTGATGACACCCCACCCACAACACCCCCCACTCTCTGCCTGTATGTCCAAATCTTGTCTACTTGCCTTAGGCACGTTTCCTCACCCCACACGCCAAATAGAGTTTCGAACAGGGGAGAAACATGACTCAGGAGAGAGCGCAGACAAAATTTTCCCGTAGAGTAGCGGTCAGAGAGCTCGCCTCGCAAGCAAAGACATGATAAGGAGATACATCAAATGCAAGGATTATTATTCTCGTCTTTCTCTCTCTACTCTGTTCTCATCGCCGCACTTAATAGACCATCCCTTGGGGGTCATGTAACTATTTATTTATGAATTGCCTTACGTTGCATTTTGTCCTTATTTTCGATATACTATGCCGAGAACTCATCCCAATTTCCTCTCCCCTTTCCCCATTCCAATATCTCTCCATTCCCCCCGCCCAGCTCGTTTTCTGCACATCTCACTCCTTCCCGTGACACCTCCTAAGCGCTCCGAGACCCCGCCCGGCGTGAAGGGCGCTGTGTAAATGCAAGTTGTTGTTGTTGACCCCTGTTTTTCTGGCCCCCGTTAACAAAGCCACCTTGCAATCCCCAGGTCCGTATGCTGGAACAGACCAATAAAATGCTGGAGACCAAGTTGGAATTCCTCCAGAACCAGGGCACCTATGCCTCCAACATCGACTCCATGTTCCAGGCTTACATTGAGAACCTCAAGAGGCAGCTGGAAACTCTGGGACAGGAGAAGGTGAACCTAGAGGGCAGTCTCCTGCAGATGCAAGCTTTGGTTGAGGATTTCAAGAACAAGTAAGTGCCTGTGTGTGTGTGTGTGTGTGTGTGCGTGTGCGTGTGGGCGGGGGGTGTGCGGGGGTGGGGAGGACTATCCCAAGGCGCTGGACAGTAACAGATCTGGTGGTTGGGATCAGGGAGGGGTAGGAGTGGCAACTTTAAACCTTGTATTGCCCGTCAATTCCTTTCCCCGCAAACAATGACGCGATCGGGCACCGTGCAAACGCATGGATTGTTATACGTTTGCGATTGCAGTTCAGGGTTCAAAAGACTTCTCACCACCTCGAGCTGCGCAGCAATTGTTCCAACTGGTCAGGCGGGGATCAGGGAATCCAGATCAGATCAATCGTATTAACCACAGCTCTCTGTAGCGCCACCTGTAAAGTCACTAAGATGCTGCGTTTCATCACAGGTATGAAGATGAAATCAACAAGCGTACCGAGGTGGAAAACGAGTTTGTCCTGATCAAGAAGGTAAAGCGTTGGCCCCATTTATCCGAACTTTATCAGGTTTTTTTTTCAAGTTTTAACTGTTTTAAATACAAACTTGTTGAAACTTTTCTTGAAGAACGTCCTCTGTCTCTCTGTCCTCCGCTAGGATGTCGACGAGTCTTACATGAACAAGGTGGAGCTGGAAGCTAAACTGGAAGGTCTCACCGATGAGATCAACTTCCTGCGAAACATCTTTGATGAGGTACTAATGACATGATTGCTTGTGTCCTGTGATTTACCACCTGACAGTAGAAACAGGAGTCGGACATTCAGCCCCTTGAGCCTGTTCTGCCATTCTATAAGATCACGGCTGGTCTGCACCTCAACTCCAACCACCCGCCCTTGTCCCATATCCCTTAATTCCCCGACCTAATAAATGAACAGAAAGGCCCGAGTTAAGGTTAGATTTTTTTCTAAACGGGTGTTTCGAATATTCCTGATCCCACGTCTCTTCCCGTTTCAATCTCCAGGAAATCCGTGAGCTGCAGGCTCAGATCCAGGATACATCTGTTACCGTGGAAATAGACAACAACCGCAACCTGGATGTTGACCAGATTATCGCCGAGGTCAAGGCCGAGTATGACCGTCAAGCACAACGATCCAAACAGCAGTGCGAGGAGTGGAGAAACGCCAAGGTACACCCACACGCCCACAACCGTACATTTATATACAGCCCTCCATCACAGGGAGTGACATCGCAGAGCTCCCGGCACATAGCTCACCATCACAGCACTCGCCTCCCAAGCGAGAGGACATGGGTCCCAAAGCGTTTCATGGAGCCGGGGATGGTAGGGGGAGTTGGGCAAGAAAGGGGCCAAAAAGCATGGTTGAGAAGAGAAGTCTTCAGGCGGACTTTAAAGGGACAGAGGGGAAGGGGGGCCGAGGGACTCCAGGATGGGGTTCCAGAGAACAGGGCTATTAATGGCTGAAGGCTCTCTCACTGACACCGGAGAATACAAAGTACAAAACTGAACCCACAAATACTGAGGTCTGTTCAGCTGCTGCTGAAACGCAGGGTAACTGACGGACTTCCTGCACATTCCAGATGGTGGAACTGTCCTCAAGCTCCGGACAATTCGGTGATGATCTTCGCTCAACAAAGACTGAGATCACCGACCTGACCAGGATGATCCAGAGACTGACTTCTGATATCGAGGCGCTTAGAGCGCAGGTAGGTGAAGCCTGAACACAAGTCTATTGCGGGATCGGTTGTCATTATGGGGTAAATCCCTGTTGGTTTCAGACCCTTGTTGTCAGACGGCTGAAAGTTGCTCTTTGATTCCACCCAGCGTGCCAAGCTGGAGGCTGAGATTACAGAAGCCGAGGAGCGCGGTGAGATAAGTCTCCGTGACGTCAAGGTGCGGATCACAGAGCTGGAGGCCGCTATTGTCAAGGCCAAGCAGGACATGGCTCGCCAATTGCGTGAATACCAGGAACTGATGAACGTCAAGTTGGCTCTGGACATCGAAATTGCCACCTACAGGAAACTCCTGGAGGGAGAGGAAACAGGTAAGACACGACTCAAGCCTGTGGCTAAATTACCAACAGTCAGACTGACGACAGTCGTTGGAACATACGGCGTGGGTCACTCTATAGCAACAACAACAACGTGCATTTATATGGCGCCCTCGCGGCGGGTTAGGGTCTTGGAGCACTATATCGTGAACCCAGAGATCTGTGGCACTTGTGCCACTGTCTGGTCAGTATTTGGCACATGAGCAGTGAAGAGGAAGTGGCATTCTTAACACTTGCTGCGCATAGCACACCAGCACAGGAACTGGCATCGGAGTTACTTCCTGCGCATAGCGGCCACCACACAGGAATGATATCCGTGATGACTAATGACCTGGCAGTGTTGTGCCGTTACTGTTGATTTTAAGAACGCAAGGACTGTATTATAACAGGAGGACGACAGCATTAATCCCCAGACTCTGGGGGTAAACACAGCACAATCGCTGGTCTTCATTTCGGGACTTGTCTTAATATAAATGTCTACTTTATGTCCAGGCTTATCACCGGCATCCAGACCCTCAACATCCACACATCCCAAGGAATGGGTAAGAAAACCATCAATTCCTATTAAATTCTTAAATTGTTCTCAGACAGACTAGCGACAAGCGACGCAGTCAGTCTGGTTTACGGCATGTCCTATGTTCTGCGAAGCTCTTTGAGACGTCTCGAAGACGCGATACATAGCGGCTGTGTCAAATGCCGGGATTGTTATTATTATTATTATCATAATCGTCGTCATTCATTTCATCGAATTAATTCTCTTTTCAGGCCAACAACAGTCGCAATTTAGTTCAATGGCTGGCGGCTCCAGTTTAGGAGGACTAGGAGGAGGAAGTTTAGCTTTCATGTCCGGTGGCGGCGGCGGCGGCGGCGGCAGTGGTTTGAGCAGCGGTGGATACAGCGTTCAATACGGTAGCAGTGGTAGTATTGGTGGCTTGGAAAGCTCCCGAGGCACACAGGGGAGTTTGCTCATTAAAACCACCGACGTCAAAACAACCACTTATTAAGCGGTTGCTTTAAGGGCTCTGTCGTGCGACGATCTGTTACGCTGGTGTTGATTCTCGGAAAGCTCACTGAAGGGTCTGTCTGAGTGAGACTTTCGTCTCCTGGTTCTGAGTAACAATGAATGTCCATGTCTCATGTTCAGCAGTGGGTCAGATTAAAGGGTGTGCAGGAGTTCTCATTGGGGATTGATTCATTCACGTGAATCATCTGATATCTCCTTGCTGGTGTTGAGTGTTGGGTCGATCTGAAATGGAAAGGTTGGAAAGTTCGGGGCACTGCAAAGACATGTTCTGGGTGTGATGGGCAAGCTTTAGAATCTCTCTATTTGCTGTTTCCTCTTCAACGACGGTGGGACATTTGCCGCTGTTGTTTGGTGTTCTTGATTCTGTGTCCTTTGTAACGGGTGCGGGCGGAGAGAAAACTTTCTTCACATTTCATCTTGCAATCAATAAACTTTCATTCGCTCGAAGACAATTGTTTGTGACTATGTTGATAAACTTGACGCAGAACACACTTTTGCACAAACACACACACACACACACAGTCATTCTACTTTACAGTACAATCCCAAAGGATCTATATCAAATGTAAGTTATTATTATCTAAATAACAATTTGGTGACTTGAATCCACGACTGTTTGTGGGGGGAACGCTGCTGTGCGCAATTGGCTGCCAGGTTTCGCCCACAAAGGTATAGTCAATTCACTTCACAGTGTATCCTGTGAAGCGCTTTGAGACGTCTGGAAGACGTGATAAGGCGCTATATCAAATGCAAGGTTTATTATTGTTATTATCATCACAGTACATGATCCGTGCAGTCAACTGTTCATATCTGACACGCGTGACGCGTGACCTGGGCAAAGTTTGCTGAAATTTCTCTCTGATCCTCAATTTAATCACAGAACAGAATCACATACCACGTGCGCTTAATAAACTGCTGAGCACTCCCAGAGTCGCCACTAATAGCCACTCTGACTCGATCTTCTTCAGTTGAAATCAACGCCACATCAATTGTCCGCTCCCTCTGCTCAGCAGCCTCCGGCCTGCTCCACGTCCCCCGCCCGGCCCACTCCACAATTGGTGGTTGGGCCTTCAGGCCCCACCCTCTGGAACTCCATCCCACAGTCCCTTCTGCTTGCTCCCTCCCTCGCCTCCTTCGAGGCCCGTCTCAAGACCGTCCTCTTCAATCGGGCCTTTGGTCACTCTCCCTGCCCTTGACCGCACCTGATTCCAACCCTCCTGCTGCTCCGGTCTGAACCCCTGACTTTCCAGTGCCTTGGAATGTCCTCCAAGCCTGGAAGTCGCTGTGTAAATGTAACTTATTATTGTTGATGCATGTTATCTTCCAAGACTCAGTCAGTCTGGCCATTTTAATTTAGCTCGATTTATATTTCCACGATGCTCCTAACCTCTGGAACTTCCTGCCTCAATCCCTCCTCCGCCACATCCCCTCTTTCTCTTTTAATCGAACTTGATGACCTACCTCTTTGACTGTGCCTATGCTCATCAACGTCCACCTTAATCCAAACATCAATTTCCACCTTTCAGAAATGTAGCGGCACCAGGTCCCCTCTCAATCGTGTCAGTGATCTCTTAAAAGTAATAACAATCCTTGCGTTCGATACCCCGCCTTATCATGTCTTCGAGACGTCTCAAAGCGCTTCACACTCTACACTGTAAAGCGAATTGACTTTGTACTTTGTGGGCGAAACGCGGCAGCCAATTGCGCACAGCAGCGTCCCCACAGACAGCCGTGGATTCAGCGACTAAATTATCTTTTAATATTATCATTAATGTATTATATTATTACATGATGGAGGGTGGCAAATGATTCTGAAAAGAGATGTCAGACCAAGCTATTGAGCCAAAGTCGGGAAAGGTGACAACAACAACAACAACATTCCCTTTGTACAGCATCTTTCACATCGGGAGGACGTCCCAAGGCCCTGGACAATCTGTGTTTTGGAGCTGAGCTGGCGGTCGGGTTCGGGGAGGGTGGAGGGCGGGTTGGGGTGGGTTAAGGAGTGTGACAGGAAACACGGTCGAAGAGGAGGGTCTCTAGCGGGGAGCGGCGGCAGGACAGCGCGGGGAGGAGCCTGGGCGTACCTACCCAGGTATTTAAACTCGACGCGGCAGGGAGTCCAGCCACACGGGGGTCTGGGGCTGAGGAGGGAACGGGTGGGGGCAGAACGGGGGAACCGCTGACGTCATAGTTTAGTTTTCAGTAGTGTGCGCGGACAAAAAAAAAAAATCATCTGCGTCCCCCCCCCCACCAGGGCTCACATCAGAGCCCACCATGGTCCTGTTGGGTTGGCTGCCCCGGCCGATGGGATAATGTTTCCATCCACCTGACCGCTCGCTCCCGGTCCCCGCGTGCGCACTATGGCTGCCGCTCTGAACCGAGCCCCCTCTCCCCCTCCCTCCCTCATCCCTCCTCTCTCCCCCCAAATCCTCCCCCCTCTGCATCTCTCCCGCTCTGTCCTCCTCTCTCTCCGTCCCTCTCGCCTTCTATCCCCACTTGACCCTCCCACAACCTCCCTCTGTTCCAGTCGGGGAATCCTCCTCCGGCCGGGCTCACCGTGGCACTCGGCGTTGGCTGTCCAGCAGCAGCCAACCCGACCGCCCCATTCCCCACCACACTCGCCAGCCACCCCGGACACAGACCCGGGGAGCCAACCTCTCCTCCCTCATCCCCATTCCCCCCACCCCTGCCCCACAACCTGGACACCCTCCCTCCCCACACACCCTTCTGTTAACCGCTCCCTCCACGTTGGACTACAAAACGTCTGCTCCCTCTGTAACAAGGCCCTGGTCATCAACGATCTCATCCTTGATGAGAACGTTGACATCATGGCCTTAACGGAAACCTGGCCCACCCCCGGCGACACCTTCCCCCTCACAGAGGCCACACCACCCGGCTACACCTCCCACCACATCCCTCGCCCCAACCGCTGGGTTGGGGCGAGGGACGTGGTTGGGGTGGGCGAGGGCGGGTTGGGGTGGGTTAAGGAGTGCGACAGGAAGCACGGTCGAAGAGGAGGGTCTTGAGACAGGTCTTGAAAGAGGCAACGGAGGGGGTGGTGCAGAGGGATTGTGGATGGAGTTCTGCTTCTAACTTCGCTATTGCTGTCTGGTGAGGTTTCACACGACTTGGGATGGAACCGACAGCTCGGTCTGAGAACCTGTGCGATGGGCCAAATGGCCTCCTTCTGTACTGTCAACTTCTATGGTTCTGTACAGTGACTGTGTATTTTGTGGGCAAAGGCGGCCACGAAAATCTGTGCAAAGCAACAACGTCCCACAAACAGCCCCGAAGTGGGTGAACGGTTGCATCTCGATGTGGAGGGGGAAAGTGTTGTCGGAAAAAAAAAAGCTACAGCCAACTACAAATGAATAACTTCCCCCTCTGTGTTGGACATAAGAAACTTAAATACTTGTTACGAGGAGAAAACATTTTTCAAAGTCGATTACTGCATAAATGTTTCTTAAGGGAGATATTGTATTCTTTTTCTAGTTATATAGCAACTCAGAAGATCCAGAATTTGGCTAATTGCTGAATTCAGCCTTGACTTTCCATCTTTTTTCTCTCTCTCTCTCCCTCTCCCTCTCCTTCTCTCTCTGCAACTCTTAGAAGAAACTTTACAGACAGGAAAAAAGACAAAAATGCCTTCGAAACGAACCCTCGTACTCAAAGAATTGACCAAAGAAAAGCTGTGCGCTCTGGAAATGCTGCGTAGACAATGTTCAAAACATTTTTTTTTAAATTGTGCTGAGAGGCTGAGCCGGTTTGGAGACTTGTATCCCTTAGATACACTCTGTCGACTTGGACTGCAAACTGCCCTGAGGGTACAGGCCGGGGCCAGGTGTGGGGCAGGTTAGAACTTATCCCAATGTCAGGCCATTGGCTCCTCCCTTGGCTGCTCTGCTCCATTGAGACGCTTGTTACCTGACACCCGGCCCAGCCCCAGCGCTGGGAGAGAGAGCGGATAAAAGCAGCGCCTCACCTGCTCAACTCCTCACAGACACCTTCTGCTTCTAACTCTCCTCTCGCCTGTCGCTCCTCGAGCAAAAAACCCAGATTGCAGGATGTCGACGAGGAAAAGCTACACGACCACCAAGATCACCAGCAGTGGCTCCAGCTACGGTGGTGGTGGTGGCTACGGTGGTAGTAGTAGCTCCAACTACGGTGGTGGTTGCTCCACTATGGTGGTGGTCTGAATATCGGCAGCGTGGCGTTGGGCGGTGGTATGAGGAGATCCTCAGCAAGAGTAGTGAGCGGAGGGAGACGCGCGATGTCCATGAGTGGCAGTATGCCGAGATCCCGAATGTCCTATTCCTCCTCCATGGCTGGTGGCGGTGGTGGCAGGATGATGGGAATGTATGGAAGCAGTGCGGGAGGTAATTTCGCAGGTGGTTATGGAGGTTTGGGAGGCAGCTTCGGAACTGGCATCGGAATTGGGTCATCTGTCAACCTGGATCTCAATGCCACCGTCGCCCCAGTGGACCCCGCTCTCCAAGCCCAAAGGCAGCAGGAGAAGAACCAGATCCTCGGGCTGAACAACCGCTTCGCCAGCTTCATCGATAAGGTATTTATCTGCACATCGATCAGATGGCATCTTAAACCACTTTTGATGACACCCCACCCACAACACCCCCCACTCTCTGCCTGTATGTCCAAATCTTGTCTACTTGCCTTAGGCACGTTTCCTCACCCCACACGCCAAATAGAGTTTCGAACAGGGGAGAAACATGACTCAGGAGAGAGCGCAGACAAAATTTTCCCGTAGAGTAGCGGTCAGAGAGCTCGCCTCGCAAGCAAAGACATGATAAGGAGATACATCAAATGCAAGGATTATTATTCTCGTCTTTCTCTCTCTACTCTGTTCTCATCGCCGCACTTAATAGACCATCCCTTGGGGGTCATGTAACTATTTATTTATGAATTGCCTTACGTTGCATTTTGTCCTTATTTTCGATATACTATGCCGAGAACTCATCCCAATTTCCTCTCCCCTTTCCCCATTCCAATATCTCTCCATTCCCCCGCCCAGCTCGTTTTCTGCACATCTCACTCCTTCCCGTGACACCTCCTAAGCGCTCCGAGACCCCGCCCGGCGTGAAGGGCGCTGTGTAAATGCAAGTTGTTGTTGTTGACCCCTGTTTTTCTGGCCCCCGTTAACAAAGCCACCTTGCAATCCCCAGGTCCGTATGCTGGAACAGACCAATAAAATGCTGGAGACCAAGTTGGAATTCCTCCAGAACCAGGGCACCTATGCCTCCAACATCGACTCCATGTTCCAGGCTTACATTGAGAACCTCAAGAGGCAGCTGGAAACTCTGGGACAGGAGAAGGTGAACCTAGAGGGCAGTCTCCTGCAGATGCAAGCTTTGGTTGAGGATTTCAAGAACAAGTAAGTGCCTGTGTGTGTGTGTGTGTGTGTGTGCGTGTGCGTGTGGGGGGGGGGTGTG